TTGTCTCCTTGAGACGTGTACAAACCAAAAAAAAACCCGGAAAATGGACATGTGTGAGCCTCCATGACCTTTTTTTCCTTCACGTTTTTTTTTTTGTTTCTCCCACGCTGGCCAACGAACCAGTAGGATGCACATGTTTTGCCCTCGTTTCACTGCCGCTAGCGACTGCGGGAACAGGGTGCATAAGGGTGGCGGCATTATTGTGCGTAGACTAGCGCGTGCAGCCGCCAACGGCAAGACACATGCCGGTGGGCTGCGGCGGCTAGTGGGTTTCACGCCCGTCGTGAGGGATTTTGTGCTGGGAGCGCCGTCCTTTTTGACGGCGGCACGAGACTTTGGACACCTGGTGCGTGAGGTGGACCCTCACGGGTTCAAGGGAGACATCCACGCGCTCCGGCACAAAGACGCGGTAAGCACGCAACGGCACGTGGCGGATGCCTTAGCCTCCAAGGAGGAGAACATTATTTTTTCTGGTGCTTATCGTACCGGTAAGTTGACAATTCTCAAAGCCATTGGAGAGGCGTGTGAAAAGGAGAAGAAGAAGGTGGCGTACGTGTCTGCGGATGCACGACGTGCGAGTCGCCTGAATGGAATGATGCTGTACCATTTCCTTGGGCTGCGCTATCTTGGACGCAACGAGCTTCCGTCGCAGGATCAACTGGAGGGCACGCTGGAGCGTCATGCCCGCCTGTGCGAGTCCACATATGGTGCCTGCGTCCCTTCTCTGGCGACGGCGGACGTGGTCATTCTCGACGCGGTGGATCAAATTCCCCCCACCATTATTGTCTCCATGGACCGCGTCTGCCGAAATCTGCGTGGGTGTTCGGCGAAGGCGTTTGGCGGGCTTCGCATATTTGCGGCGGCCGACTTTTGGCGTATGCCTGTGCATCCCGGCAGTGACACGGGTGGCTACATTTACCAGCTGGACAACTGGGACGAGCTCTTCCCGCGGCAGCGGCTGTTGGAGAAAATTCACGGACAGTCGCGGAAACTCACGGCGCTGGTTAACAAGGCGTACTTTGGACTCCTCGCTCCAAAAGACATCGAGGAGCTGGAGGCCCATTCAGCGGCGAACAGGTCGGCTGTGCGAGACGGAAACGAGGGCAGCGAGGTGGAGGCTGGGGACGCTGAGGAGAATGAGGATGAAAATGGGGCCGCGGACGCCCCTTCCATTTGGGGCGCCGGGCGTCATGGGAATAATACGCATAATAACAAGAACAGTAATAATAGTCACAGCAACCACGGCAGTCGTCGTCTCTTGGGCCATGGTGTGGCGCTGCCACCGCAGAAATTAATTTCCAACGTGGAGGCCATCATAAAGTTTACATCTCGCTTTCCAAAGCAGCCGGCCATTCGCGTACCACCACCTCGTTTTCGAACACTGAAGCGTACAGAAATTGGGAACTACGTTGTGAACATGCTGTTGCAGTCCTCCCTGCCCCTGGCGTTTTCGCTCGTGGACTTGCTGAACCTTGACGTGGGATCCAGTGTGCATCTCTTGCTGGACGCTCCTGCGTCCTTTGGCGTGCCCGCCGGCACCGTCGGTGAGGTGCTGCAGGTGAAGGAACACGTGCTGGTCGTACACTTTCCCTCCGTGCACCGCACCGTTGATGTTCCTCGCATGCGTGTCAGCGTGTACCACTCTTTCTACCCGGAGGTGCGCTACGAGATTCAGCAGTTCCCATTGTTTCCCCGCCAAAGTATCTCCCCACTGAACATGCTAACTTATCAGCATGCATACCATGTCAACATTAACTGCCACCACCTCGCGGACACCAATGACCTTGGAAACATGCTTGCTCGCATGCGCAGTTTTGACGACTTTACCATCGAGCGGACACAAGACTTTGCGCGTTTGGATGGAATGATCCACGAACCGACGCGCATCTATTATCAACGCATAGCCAACCGTCCACTTTCTACCGCGTCGGAGCAGTGGTGTCGCAACTGCAAGTCCTACGTGCCGACGAATGAGTTCTACCACCACTGGGATCGCTGCATCCAACAGGTGCGGTGGTGCAGCGAGTGCAACACGCGCATCCCGCTTGAGCGGCTTGGGCCGCACCAGGAGAAGCATCAGATTGTGCTTTGCTTAGACTGCGGCAGAGCCGTTGAATGGCGGAGGTGGGAAGGACATCGGCTGACGTGTTCTGCGATGATGCGGGAGGTGTCGCCGGAAAACGAGTTTCTACCGCTTCGCACTCGTCAGCTTGCGTTAGAAATGGGACTCGACAAACGCGACCTGCACACCATGCGGGCCTTCAGCCGCAGTCTGCTTCCCAAGTCACGGAAGCACTGCGATGGGGGCAACGCATGAGTGGACCAGATTGAGTGAATTCATCGGAAGAGATGCTTACGCATGGCTTGAGAAAAGAAGGGGAAAATAACAACAACAGCAACAAGAACGTCGCAGTGTGTGCAGGAGCCTGTCGCAAGCACGCGCGTCCTCCTCTCACTCTGCCTCTTCTACCAGAAACGGACTTGTATCCGTATACATTTGGGATTTTGTTGTTGTTGTTGCTTTCCCCCCCCCCGCCTTGCGCTTTTTCATTACAGAAAGCACGCGCCTCCCTGTAGGGCGTGCTGGAGACGCCGCCTTTGGTTGCTCGAATTTCATCCCCCTCCTCGTTTTTTTTCCCATTGTTTTTGCTATTGCGTTTCCCACTTTTCCAATTTTTTTCTCTCTCTCTGTACGTGCGTGCGTTTGTCTGTCCGTCTCCTCTGCCGGTGTGTGGACGCACTACTCGTGACGGTTGAATGCTCCCTATTGATGCAAACGCTTGCGTGTAGGTCTGCATGATTCTCCTCCCCCCGTTCTTTTCCTCTTTCGTTTTTTTTTTGTGTGTGTGTGTTCCCTCGCTTTTCCGTTTGTAACCAAACATATTGTGCGTTTTTTTTTCTTTTTGCGGCTGAAGTGTTGTGTGTCTGTGCGTGGGCGCATTTCTGCTATCGTCCATGTGGCGCGGCAGCACACCGGTATCTTCTTCCGAGCGATGGCGCCCGTTTTCTCAC